TATATATAATTATATAAAATAAATGACGTGACAAAAAAAAAAATCAAACTACGGCTCTGTAATTGTCATTATCATTATGATAGCTTTAGATGGCTCCACTCCTCTTCGCAGATATAAGTTTGGTCTCCCCCCTTTCTTATCTACGCTGCTTCTGTTCATCTTCCTCGGTACTCTTCTCTATGGCTCCCTCAATCGGAAGCCAGGAGGCGAAGACTATCTGCGTCATGGACGCTTCTAGCAGGATCGGCGCCGCCCTCGTGGACCGACTACTTCGCCGGGGTTACACCATTCACGCTGCAGCCTTCGGCCGTGGTTCGAATTCGTTGCCTACTCTCGATTTTTTTTTTTTCTCAGCTGAGTTTTGTATGTGGCATATCATCGAACGACTGGCGTGCGTGCAGGGGATGAGGGGAAGGCGGCTAGCTGGAGCGAGAGCAAGCGGGTGAGGATTTTCAGATCGGACCCTTTGGATTACCACAGCATTGCAGATGCCGTCCGGGGATGCTCCGGCGTATTCTACTCGTTCGACACTGATTCCTACGATGTGAGCGGCTCTCTTCTTCTCTTGTTTTTGCGCATTTTAACTTTCATGAACGGTGGCGATCCATCGACACCACGCATCCTTGTTAAGATTCATGCCCTGTGTGGAAGCTTTAACAGTCTTAAAAGTTTACATAGCACCAATCTCAAAATAAATTCTATTATTATTACACTTATTCTTATATAATATCTTAACATAATTTTTTAATATTGAATATCAAAGCATAAGATTTATTCATACAATCATGCTAATCTGTAACTTTTAAAATTTAGCTTAATATCAACCATCAAATCACAACAACAACTCATTAGATGCCCTAAGGACATATAATTTTTCACTTAATTTCATTCTGAATGTTATTTACTATGCAGGAATTCATGGTGGAGGTGGAGGTGAGAGCTGCGCATAACGTATTAGAAGCTTGCGCGCAGGCTGACACAGTAGAGAGGGTTGTGTTCACTTCTTCTGTGACTGCTGTCATATGGAAGGAGAACCGCAAGCTTGCTGAGGATGTTGATGAGAGGGATTGGAGTGAGCCAAACTTTTGCAGGAAATTTAAGGTAATTAATTAATTGCTAATTATTTTAGTTAAGCTAATCATTTGTAGAATGAAAATGATGATGATGCTTTAGAAAAAAAAAATAGCTAGCTGAGGTTATTCTCAGGATAAGGTTTTGAATTAGTAAATTTGTTTAAAATGAATATAATATAAGATGATTAATTATTTATATTTTTATGTTTATAACCTTCTCAAAAAATATTTAAATTTTTAAAAATTCATTTTAATAATTAAATTTTAATGAGAATATCTGATTTATTTTTTCATGTTCTTTAATGACATGATTCATACATTTTTAATGGCTTTTTTAGCACAACTGAAATTTAAAATCTTTTTAATTATAAGTAATCAATTAATTTATATGAGAATGGCAGTCATGCCACCTAAGGCTTGCGACCGCTTTCTTATTACTTTCTAAATCACATTTTTATTACAAAAATTTTTAATTCAAAAAAATTTTGTTCTAAAAAATTATTTTAGAAAGTAGAAAAAACCCTATCCCAAACCAAACCTTAGTTCAAAATTTTAAATCCATAACAAATTAAATTCTCTTACTTCTAAAAGAATTCCTATTGTTCTCCAAAATTATAACATAGCCATAGCTCATAGGGGTGTCAATATTTGACACGACTCGAAATCTGAAACAATCCGACCCAAAAATTCAAGCAGGTCATGGTCAAATCGTTTATCAGACGGGTTAGTTTCGGGTTCAAAAATGTGATTCGTTTTAAAATCGGGTCGGGTTCGGGTTGACCTGGGTCCGAGTCTGTCGTGGTCTCGCCCAGCCTAGCCTGCTAGCATGCGAATGCGATCATGCAGGGAGTTGGTCTCGCCCAAGGGGCCAAGCCTAATCCAGCAGTCGAGTCGGTCTCGCCCAGCCGCCTAGCTACGACCCTAGCCCTCAACTCAGCAATCGAGTCAAGTGGACACGGCGTCCGCTGTCCTCACACGAGCCCGCCTCGTCAAGTTTTGACACGAATCCGACCTGGGGACCCATTTTGACACCCCTACATAGCCATAGCTTCGTATTTCAGTAGTCCAAATTAGACAACAAATAATTAGTTTTAATAAGTTTATTTTATGCAAAATGTACCATAAGCCATTATTAATTTCGTCAATTTCTAACGATAATAAAGTGCTTATAAAATAATAAAATTACTTAAATGTTAGCGTTGGGAGTTCAGAATTGAGTGTATGATGCATTTATTAATAGTTGGTGACCCTTAGCAATTAATTGTTAGCGACATACAGCTGCTTTGATCATGATTAATTCCATATTTGCAAACAACTTCAGTCACTCTCAACCTGAAGCAAGTGGGTAGCAATACAAATGGGATACGTCTGAAACTTTTCTTCAATTTTGCCGACAAAATGGGGCATCCACTTTTCTTGACATGAAAGGGAATCCCATTCTATAAGGAATTAGTTTTCTAGTTGAAAGAGTAAATAATGGTGGATGTTAAAGAAATTGCCCACTAATTAATGCCATGAAAAAGAAATATTTTCCTAATGAATTGCAAATGATAATTTTAATTTTCCAGAATCATTAGGGTAGTTTGCATATATGAGAGGGTAAAAGACTGTATATTATTGGAGAAGTAAATCACACACTGAACACAAACAAGAAAGTGAAAATTACAGCGAAAAGAATAACACCAGGATTTAATGTGAAGAAACTGAAAGTCGAAAAAAAAAAAAATCATAGAGTCACACCACACCAAAAAATTCACTATGAAATTTGGGAGAAATAGTATAAATCACTCTTCTCTCTCACTCTCTCCTTGTCTCTCTTCACTATTGTACTCACATGAACTAAAAAGAGAAACACCTTAAAGCCCTTCATGAAAAACAAGAAAGAAAATTGGACAAACCGCCTCGTAGCTACACAACACTCCACTCTGTCTCCAATCTATCTGACTGCACTGTAGTGCAGGGGTCAGAAGCACCACAACGCTCCGCTTTCTATCTGCATCCAACAAGATAATGCGACACCATAGTGTTGTACGGCTTCACCCAAGCCCAAGCTGGGGAAGGACCTCTGCAACCACCCCCCGGCGAGCTCGACCGATAGAATTAAGGTATGGGGAAACAGTACAATCCGATTGATCGCCACAATCAAATTCCACGCATAACTAACATTTGGTAAGAAAAACCCATTATTATTAGGAAGGATATTGTCCTAAACATAAAGACAAGCAAAATGAATCATAAAATAACTGTAAAAGTGAGATTATTGTTCCTCTAAATTAATAATTCTCATAACAAATAAAGTTGCATGTTACTCCGTACACAAACTATGTAAGATCTCCATCATTTTCTAGTGGGGTATAATGCCAATAAGAAACCAGCTCTCTCCATCTCTCTCCAGCTCAGTAGAGACACAACAGGCCCAGCTCAAATAATAAAAAACTCAAAGCAAATACAAAATGCCACCAAACATTCAGCTAAAAATTTCCATATATCACGAAAACTTATAGTCGTTTGTCCTGTTTGTGTGACTAAACCCAAGCTATAACAGCATTAACGATCTATTGCAGCTATGGCATGCACTTGCAAAGACTCTATCTGAGAAAACAGCCTGGGCACTGGCAATGGATCGCAGCGTTAACATGGTGTCGGTGAACTCGGGGCTCCTCATAGAGACCGAGCTCTCACCATCGAACTCATATCTGAAAGGCGCGCCAGAAATGTACGAAGATGGTGTGTTGGTGACAGTCGAGCTCAAACTACTAATTGACGCTCATATCTGCATCTTTGAGAGCGCAGATGCCTTCGGACGATATCTATGCTTCAATCATGCCATTTGCCGCCCCGAAGATGCCGTTAAACTCGCCCAAATGCTCTCACCCCTGGCACCGAGCCCTCCTCCCAGGTACTCTCTTTTGGCATGCTAGTCAAAGAATATGAACAATTTGCTTACTAGTTGATATTCTAATCTTAAATTTTAAACTGCTTTATGATGCAGTGATGAATTAAGAGTGATTCAGGAAAGGATCCGGAGCAAGAAGCTGAACAAGCTGATGCTGGAATTTGGAGATGAATTGCAAGTAGCAGAATAGGCATGTGGTAATCAAGGATGTATAGTCCATTGATAATTATTTATGGTGCTTTCCAAGCTTACAGCATTTATTTATTGTATCATTGTATTCTGGCATTCATATGATAGTATTATAACATTCACTTTAAATGTTCAGTAGGTTGTCTCTGCTTCTGTTCAGTATGTTTTCTTTGCCTATGTTGGTTATGTATGTCAATAAAAAGGTGAAATTTATTCAAATATAAAGTAGAAAAATGAGTGAACAGAAAGGAATGTTTACCCTTAAAATGCAGAATTTATACAAATTTATTGGATTGATTGCTTCATCTTATTGATGTGCTACAGATTTAATTATCATATTTTTTTTTTTTTTTTTTTTCATAAACCCCTCTATGTCAAGAAAGAATGAGTGAAATAAAATCCTCAAAATAACTTAATGAAATAACTTGCTAATATCGGATGTTCGAGACTAAAGCTTCGTTTGGGACAACTTTCTTATTGTTTTTTAAAACAGTTTTCTAGTACAAAAAGTTCTAAAAAATTTTTGTACTAAAAAAATAATAAGAAAGTCATCCCAAAAGAACAGCTTTCTTACTCATTTTTAAAGTAGCTTTCTCATATAAAAATTTTATTTTTTGTACTAAAAAGCTATTTTAAGAAGTAATAAGAAAGCTGTCACAAATAAAGTCTAAGGCTTCGTTTGGGGCGGCTTTTTTACTGATTTCTAAAACGGAGTTTTAATACAAAATTTTTTTATTTTTGTACTAAAACTCCGTTTTAGAAAGCAGTAAAAAAACCGTCCCAAACGAAGCCTAAGTCTATGATAAAAATTAAGCTCCACGATTACATGAGAAGAATTGTGGCCTCATCACTATTTACACCTTCTATGTTTTGATCTTATTTCATTTCATTTCATCTTAACCAAATGATTTTGCTCATGCATACAATAGTTAAGGAAAAAGGATTGTTAACCTGAAATTATCAAACCTTTTTGTGTAAGATTTTCATGAAATGAGTAAAAAAATTCAGCATGAAAGACTTGTCACAAGTATTGCCAATTCTGAATCAATGCACATTTGTAGTTTTAGGGTTTAGGGTAAATAAAAGATATATATTTTTTAAACCCTTTCTAATTTGTCACCATCTTTAATGTTGATCTTATGACTAATTAAGAATTTATTTAATCATCTATTTAGCCATGCCAGGTGCATTATAATTTAATTTAAATGAAAATTGATTATTGGCTTTTGCAGATTATGAGAACTCTAATCAGATTAAGATCAATTTGGGATGGCTGCAACTTTTTATAAAGATGGCTGCAAAATTGTTGTGAATAAAATAACTTTTTTAAAAGCTGTTATAAAAAGAAGCTTCCTAGCATAATTTTTTTTTAAGTGATTGAAAAACAATGGCTAAATAGAAACTATGCTTGTTTTCTTAAGAACAAAGCAGTAAGGAAGTTATCCTAAATGAAATTTAAAATCTAATACAATTTATAACTTATCTGATAATAGAAGTACTTACCTTGAAAAATATGTTATAATTTACTTCTGTGTGGAATTTGATTATTTAATAAATCGGGTTGTATTGTTGCCTCGGATTTCAATTCGGTATGTTTAGCAAGCTGGAGGGTTGTATGGGGTCCTCTGTTGCTTTGGTTTGAGTGCTTTACATTCGAAAAAAAAAATTCCCGTACAACGTCCTGATACGGTGTACCAAAGCGTATTGGTATTGTATAGTTTCGTGGAAAAAGACAAAGAAGCAGAGTATTGCGACGCTACTGGGGGCAATGCGGGGCTCCGAACCAGGCACTACGACACTGTTGGGCAGGTTGAAATCAATGAGTGGGAGCGACGCAGTGCTCTAACTTATCATAAATGGATTATCTAATGTAGAAGATGGATTATCTAATGTTTTATCATTTCTATACTTATCATAATGGATTTTCAACATTAGTATATAAATGCTAGGCCATGCATTAACCAAACGACTAGAGCCAAATATATATACATATATGAAGAATAGCTTTTAATGGTAAATTGTTTCCCTCATTCTAGACCTTGATGACTTGATAACCCTAATTATTCAAAGTGATTTTACACTATCAGTAGTGGGCTTTTGGAAATTAAGTTATCTAATTATTGTATATTTTAAAATATTATTAAAATAAGTTATCTGAATTTTAATATTTAAAAAAATTATTAACTATAACAAATCTTAATAAATAATTATAAATGTCTACCATTATAATTATATATAATTAATTATTCAGTAAAACCTGATAATGTTGAAGGGAATTTGAGCCTAACATGCCCATAATAGTGAAAATTTATGCTAGTTTGTTTATTTGAAAAAATATGACTGAAAATTTCTTCCGAATCAAAATATACTTTTTTAAAATCAATCATTGATCAATAGTGCTTTTAAGATCAAAGGATCGTTACTCTAATATAATTGGTTTCGATGCTTGGGTCGTGGTTAAAAAATGATTTGAAGGTGATTCATTCATAGTATAAAGATGTTGCAACCATTATTTAATCTTAGATCAAAGATGATTTGGAAAAAAAAAATGATCTTGACATGAAAAAATTACTTCGCCGGGCACGATTACTACATTCCAAGATCTTAGAACATTAGAGATGTACAGAAAGTGTAGGTGATAATAAACAACAACAATATCAAGCCTTTGTCCTACTACGTGGGGTCAGTTACATGAATCATTTTTCTACATTGTGTCCTATTAAATTATTTTATTCTCATTTAAATCCAATAAAGAAAGATCATTTCTAATATTTTCTAACCAAGTCTTTTTTTTTTTAGGTCTACCTCTACCTTTCTTAATATAAGTCAAATCTAATACCTCTACTTTCATAACTGATTTATCGGAAGGCCATCTCTTTATGTGAACAAACCATCTAAGGTGACTCTCTCTCTAATATTATCTTCCACCTCCAACCTTTTCATGTATATGCTCATTTCATATCATGTGAGCATCCTCATCTCTGTAACACTTGACTTAGTTTTATTCTTCTCTTTTAATGGCAAACATTCTGCATCATAATGCATTGCAGATCTCACCACCATCTTATAGAATTTTCCCTTAAGTTTGCGGGGGACTTTTCTATCACACAAACAAGCCTGATGCATTCATCCACTTTAACCATCTAACTTGAATTCTATTGATAATATCTCCATTTATTTCACCATCACTTTGAACAATAGATCCAAGATATCTAAAATGTGCACTCTATTAATGACTTGAAAATTACACTTCATATATTCAATTTTAGATCTACTCAAGCGAAATCCTTTTGACTCTATAATTGACCTCCATAATTCAAGTTTACCTTCAAATCCCTCTCTAGTCTTATCAATAAGAAGAATATCATCAGCAAAAAACATACACCAAGGTACATCCTCTTGCAAATGTCAAGTGAGAACATCCATGACTAAAATAAAAAGATATGGGCTTAAGGGTGATCCTTGATATAATCCAACCGAAATGGGAAAATACTTGGTCAAACTACTTTGTGTTTGAACACAAATAATAGCTCCTTCATGCATATCTTTAAAGATTTGAATATAAGCATTGTTAACTACTTTCTTTTTAAGAACTCTCCATAGCACTCTTCTTGAAACTTTATCATATGTTTTTTCTAAATCAATAAATATCATATTTAGATCCTCCTTATTCTCTCTATATTTCTCCATCAAACCTCTCAATAAATGTATGAGTTCCATAGTAGACCCACATGCATGAATCAAAATTGATTTTGAGAAACATTAGTATCACACTGCAACCTACATTCTATAACTCGCTCCTTTAATTTTAAAGTATGATACATTAACTTAATTCATCTATAATTCGTACAATCTTATACATCACATTTATTCTTAAAAATAAGAATCAAAACACTTATTCTCCAATCATCTTCAAAATAATATTAAAAAGTTTAATAAGCCCAAAAATTCCTTTCAACGCCTAAACATTTCCTCACCTCTATTGAAATAACATCAATTCCAACAACAGCTTTTCAACCCTTCATTTTCTTTATAGCCTCTCTAACTTCGATTTTACTAATACGTCGATAAAAATAAAATTCTTTATTTTCATTTAGGGTGCTAAGGTCACTAAAATCAATCACATTCTCACAATCTTCATAAAAAAGTTTAGCAAAAAAAAATAATCCATCTTCTAAAATCATTCGATAACCGCAAAAAATGCAATGACATATTCTGACCATCCGCTATACTTTAAATGTTCAGAATTCTGTATTTCAAAATTACACTCATTTTCATGAAATTAATTCTTGATTTAGAACATCCAATGCAAGTTCATCATCAATTGTACTGCGTTGCAATCTCAGGATTTAATTATTCTATATTTACAAAATATAAATAGAGCAACTGTGCAGAATTTCTCATTCAAGATTCTACAAAAGCTTTCAGAACTCCATAAAGAGTGCACACCGAGCACTATGGAGATCCAAATTATGCACTGAGGGAAACCGAGGCTACGTTTGATAGCTTGAACTTAGAAGGTTTATTGGAATTAAGCGGCTGAAACAGAAATTCTGTGCTGGGCTTCACAGCAATTTCGTTCCATTCAAGAGCTGAAGGTGCATTGCCTCGAACATCTCGAGGAGAAAACAGAATATTGAGTCTTGATCTACCTGCATTAGAAAAAATTATTTTAGCCAAAAAAACGAATACAACAACAAACAAGGTGCCGTAGATACGATTAGAGAGAAAGGTAGAGGCAAACCTAAAAAGACTTGGTTAGAAAATATTAGGAATGACCTTTCTTTATTAGATTTAAACGAGAATTTGACTTTTAATAGGACACAATGGAGAAAAGGATTCAGGTAGCCGACCCCACATAGGAGGAAAAAAAATCAATCTGTGACATTTTCCCTAAATCAAAGTAATGAGCATGGACAGATACCTAAGCCAAACAAGCTTGGCTTTTGAATGATGAACTGAGCAACTTTTGATCTGTTAACATTTCTCAAAGCTTGCATATCTTCTGAGTTTCCCTTGAATTCAATGAACTCGCCCAGAAGATTTCTATTACCATTAAACTCTATCCTGCAAAGAAATTAGGGAATAATAACACATTAAGACACCCTATCGAATATTTACACAACAGCCACAGATGGATTAAATTTAGGAAATACAACACAAATATTTGTAGGCCAAAAATATATTTAAAAACGTATCACATACACAGACAGCATGTAGACCAAAATTTTGCTTTGAAGATGCATTTGTGGGAAATATCTAGATAAAGATTGAACAAACTTAGGCTTCATTTGGTTATTTTGTATCTTTTCTAAAAGGTAGTTTTAAGTTTGAGAGAACAGAGAATTTAAAATCAGAAAGCTTTTGAAAAAAGTTAAAAAGCAACGGTATTCAGAATGTGATTAAGAAAATTAGTTTTATCAAACAACTAAATTTTTTATGCTTTATCGTTGCTAGACGGAAAAAAACAGTATAAACGGACAAACAAATGAGCCCTTAACCATTCACTAACATATCTTAAGCTACATCTGATGAGCAATGTTCCTGTAGGATATCTCACAAACTTTTATAGATTGTTAATATCATAAAAGCTTAAGCAGGCTGAATATGGTTTTCAAAAGTTGTTTCACCACATAACAAAACGGTGATGATATTTGGTAGCATTTTACTAGTGCAAAGGAAGCATTTTTCTAGAAAGGATTATTTCGCAAGGAAATAGTGGAAATTAACAAAAAGCTTTCATGGTACGCTAGTCAAAACACTTTTTAGCTAGGCATCACGAGTCAACAGTTGTGTTTGCACAAAAGGCTTCATTTAAACAAACTAGCAAGCTTGCTCCATTGGGGTCGACACAATTCATCAAGGAAAATGTGTAGTAGACCATAGAGCAAAAGATATTTTAGTAACTGAAGGGCAGGATATGGCTAGCTTAATAACATAGAGCTATCTATTACGGATGCCCAATTCAATTTCTGAAAAATTTATAGTCGGGAGATGCCAATATAGTAGTGGTAAGCTAAATGCCATTATGGAGAATCCTGCAGTAAAAGAAACATAAAAGTGCCCAAATATTATTTCATGGTACGTTTGGCTACTTTATTTGATTATTAAATACTGGAAAAAATTGATCCAACAAATAAGTGCTCCAAAAGACATGCACAGGACTAATGAGTAACTATTCAGTTGAAGTGATGAATAGACTTAATTTTTTTTTTCTCCATTAAACCTATGAACTCAATGAAGAAGCAAATGATTCATAAATTTATCCAAATAGTTGGGATAAGCCTGATGAAGATGATCATGAAATGAACCAATGAATTTGTCATCCATATTATTTGGAGCCATTCTAAAGGGGTTAGAATCACATTACTCCTAGGTCATAAACATTTCCGTGGTATTAAATACATTCAAGTAATCAGAAACATCATGGTACTAAAAATAAATCCTTAATGCATTGATGCCCGCCTTAGCTTGAAGATTTGGAATTATTTAACCACCTTTTTTTTCACTTTTACCACACATGGTGGGAGTTGAACCCCTCAGCTCCTGATTTCTAGATTTCTTTCTTTCCTTAGTAGGTATTTATCTACCTATATATGCATATCATTTCATCATATTTTTTAAGCGGAACAAAGAAATAAAATTCAATCATACAAGCTCTTATTTTATGTTCCCCTCTCTTCTCATAATAATTTTCAAGAGAATATCAGAGACATTAAAATTCTGTTCCCATAGGTCTACAATATGGAGTGTCTTCTCCAAGCCAACGGGTCCTTCACCAACACTGAAAGTCAGTTTTCATCCGACAAGTGTAATTAAAACATATGTGAAGGATCTTCCTAGAAAGAAGACGGTAGAAAGTGACAAAAGAAATAAGTTGTCAAAAAGCTAGTAGCTATAATACTAGAAATCAATCTCAAATGCAAATCCAAAACATGAAAATTTCATAAAGAAATACTTTATTAGAAAAATCCAGGAAAGACTAACAACAAAGATAAATCACAACAGCTCACTCCTTCCTTTAACAGCCATTTGAACAACAAACCAAAGACAACCAACTATAATATTAATACCAGTATAAGCTTATTCCAAAATATCATTGAAATAAGTTTGGTTGCTTGGAAAGGTAAAGTCTAATATGCCCTCATTGCAAATAAAAGAAAAAAACTACTAATTGGAATATAGACTAAAAAATGTTAGATTATATGACACGAGATAAAATTTCCTTGCACAATTACAACCAATACCATCAGAAATATCCAGATTGCATGTAGGTCACTTTCAAAAGTGATTCGAATAGATTACATCATTCTCTCAGAAGATCCGACATTTGACTCTACGTTCCTAGTGTATTATATATAACTTACCAACAACCCAAGACAAAAATTATGTTGCTAATTTTTTATATTAATCTTCATCGTTTTTGAGACTTGAATGCAACGAGGATGCATGACAATGCAATAATGTATTCCGGAGTGTACATTCTAAAGAATGATCTTCCAAGTGAGGCATAGCCTCAAACATGTGTATTTGATAGGCATAGACCGGTTCAGGAGAGCCGATCTAGCCAGCCTAATGGTTGGGCCGGCTCAAACAATACAGCAAGAGGAAGCCTGCTATTCCGCAAGAGCCAAATCCCGCCCCCCTTGAGATGGGTTCCACTACCTAGGGAAGACAGAGAAGGGACTGTTTAGTCCTTTTGAGTTAATTTTATGTTTTTTTTTTAATGTTTGTTTTAAGTAGAAGTTTGTATTAGGGTTAGGGCATCATGTTTGTTTGCTGAATTTGGTGTGGAAAGTTTTGGCATCTTGGTCTCTAGCAGCGACAAAGATTTGGGGATAGAACGATCCTCCTCTCAAATTCAAGATCAGTTGTACCTCTGAATTTTCTTTTCGTATCTTTTATTATTGCAAGTTTTCTCGCTATTTTGTTTGATTTGTTGGAAGTAGTGTGGTTAAAGATTGTTGAAATCTCCATATTAGTAAGAAACACCGGTGTCTACTAGTGTTCCCTATCAGTATCCACCAAAACCTCTACTTCAAATTTCAAATGCTTTGAATAATGATGTTGATGTCTATCTTTTGCTTGATTGCCTAGGGCACTCAAACTTTATTTATCTTGAAAAATCAATTGCTTTTCTTTCACAATAAAAATTTAAAGGATTTTCTATGTGAAATTAATCTTAGGTTGAGCACACTCACAGTTCCAATCCCAATCAAGCATATGAATCTTACTAAACTTTTGCTTTAGTCCACAATAATGTGCAGGGGATATCCAGACTCCAGAGTAAAAAATATCTCTAGAGCAAGATTGCTTATTCCCTTCATTAACAATTATACCCACCTCACTTGGATTTTCTTAATAAAAGGGACATTTTAAAATGGGACAAATTTTTAAACACTTCAACATCATAATCCACGCTCAATTTTAATACAAAATTTAAATTATAAAATTCAACAATGCCCAAAAAATATTTCAAATCACTCATAGAAAATCCTCCCTTACATAAAGGAAATATCCACCAAAGCACGAGTTGACACCACTCGATAAAATATGATTTTTGAAAAGAAAAAAAGACATCCAATGAAATACAAAGACAAATTGGTGAAAATAAATCCACAGATGATGATACTAATCTCCACTATCCTATTGATTTAAGAAAAAGGATGAGGTCATACACCAAACACCCAACTATGATTTCATGACTTAGACTTTCACCTAGATTTCATGTTTTTGCTACTTCTTTTGATAAAATACAAATTCCAAACACTAGTCATGAATCTCTTAAGACCACCGAGTAAAAGACATTTGTAATAGAAGAAATCCAAACCTAAGTAAAAAATGATATGGGTGAAGTTTTTGAATTTTGAGCAAGGAAATAATTGATTGGAGGTAAATGATATAATCAAATATAAAGCAAATGATGGTGTGGATAAATTTAATGCTCGAATTGTCGCAAAAGGGTACACCCAGTTATATGGTATTGACTATTAAGAAATTTCTCTTCAAATGCAAAACTCAACAGAATTTAAGTTTTGCTTCTTATAGTAAATTTGAATTAGCCTCTATATCAAATTGACATTAAGAATTTTTTTAATTAATTGGGACCTTAAGGAGGAAGTAAACATGGAGATCCCACCTGTATTAAAAATTAAAAAAAAAAAAAAACCAAAAAGGTATCTAGACATATAAAATATATATATGCCTTCAAACACTATCTAGTACCCTCATGCCTAGTTTGAAAGATACCCCAAATATACTGAAAAGTGAGAGTACACTAAGTGCCAAATAGATCATCGTCTTTATCAAGCTCTCACCTACAGGAAAAAAAGTATAATTTTGTTTATGTATATTGACAGATAACTTGGAGAAAAAGATAGCCCAATTAAAATGTTTCTGACAAGAGAATTTGAGGTAAAAGTCTTGAGAAATCTAAATTACTTTATTGATATGAAAGTGGTACGATCAAAGCAGGTTTTACTATTTCTCAAAGGAAATATATTCATGATTACTTCAAGAAACAAGAATGCTTGGATGAATGCCCACAACAACTTCAACAAATCTAACAAAGAAAATTGGGCTCACCACTGGCCGCACACCTATTGGTAAATATAAGTATCAATGCCTTGTGGGAAATTGTATTGGATTCTGTTAGACCGGTCCAGCCGGTCCTACAGGACCGGCCCTTGCAAAACATAGGCGGAGCTCTTCCGCCTCTATGATATGCCAATCCGAACGTAAGAACCGACAGAGCTGTTTTGGAAGGTTTTCTGAGAAAGTTTAGGAGGGAAATTGAATGTAGGGACTATTTTATAGATTTCCTTATGAATTGTATGCATTAAATAGTTTGTTTTCCTAGGGTTAGGGCATCTTGAATTTGGTTGAAATTTGAGATCTCTTAGATTTAGGTTTTCTTTTTGGCTCTAGCGGCATCTAGAGAGTTTGGAGAGATAGATCCTCCTCTCTAATAGAGGATCAATTGTATATTGGTATTTTCCATTTCCATTTCATCAAATAATACAAATTATCTACTGTTTTCCTGGTTTGGTGTGGATTTTTGTGGATGT